AGGTCATTAAAGTATGAATTACCACCATTGGACCAATTTTATAAGAGGATGAAACTGAAGCTCAGAAAGGTAAATTACTTGCCTGAGGACACACAGCTGGCACATGGCAGAGTTTGGAATTGAAACTGAGAATTCATGTGTTTACTCATTATATCTAATTATTCTCAGCCTTGGTGTAGTCACCATGGAAACCTCCATGGCATGTGAAATGTTGTCCTCTATTATGGGCAGGAATTCACGTGTATAAATCAAAGTTTGAAGACATGGATTCTTTAGGCGGCAGCTTGAGGAAAGAAGATGTGAGTTTTTGCTTCAGCAGTTCTCACAGGCCTCAGTTTCTTCACTTGTAAAGGGGAAGTTAAAGGATCCCTGAGCTCATTTCAACTTTAACATACTATAAATCCAGTTAAACACATAGTCACAGATGAGGAGGAAAAAACCGTCAAGCAGCCTAGTAACCAAATACATGCAGGACTTCCTGTAAATGTGTAATGTTTATTTGTTCCTGGTCTCATTTTCCCTTTGCTATTCATTTTCTCTTTCTTTTACTCTCTGGAACTTCAAATTTTGTTGTATCTTATTATATTTAGATAGTCTATTTGATATCCTTGTTGGAGAGATATGCGCAAGATGGGCTTATGTATTTGGGGGATGTTTTCTACTCAACCTTTTTATATTTTAAGATTTCCTCTAGTATAATTTCTTAAATAGAAATTCATGTAAATAAAATGAGAGTAAGCAATAAATACAAGGTGGAAGTTCAAATTGATTCACATTCTTTAGAACGATTGGTTTATGTCACACACCACACACATTAGTATAGACTTATACTTTAAAGAAGAGACTGAGGGACCAGACTAAAATGTGCGTCGTGATCCTGCCACGTTCTATAAACACTCTTACATTATTGTGGGAGGAATTCTTCCCATCCAAATCCATTGAAGCCTATGCTGTGCTGTGACAATATTGTATTACAGTGTCACTGTGGGACCGGTTTCAGGAGACAGCAAAATGCATGGAAAACACCTGTATTTTAGAACCACATTAGCTCAGAATCCAGATTCCAGTCTTAGTCCTGATGCTTCCTAGCTGTACAACCTTGAGCAAGTAACTTAAAACTTCTGAGTTTTTTCTCCTTATCTGAAAATGGGACCACAATATGCATTATTGTGGTGGTTGAGAAGATTAAATAATTTGATGTAGCTGAGAACAGAATGCCTGGAACTTAGCAAGCACTCCCCAAATGTTGCCTTCATTTCCTTCCCTGCCTGCTTTTCCCTTTTTTAAATACTTGATCTACAAACCAAAAAATACATATATATATATATTTTTTTCTTTTGCAAATGTAAACTACTGAAATAACTCCTCATGGCTGTGGTTTGGCAAAATCCAAGTGGTCACTGGTTATTTTCAGAAGTATCACACTGTTCTCAAATTAAAATTAGTTTTAACTTCATTATTTTAAAATGCTACCTGGGCAGAAAGGCTAGTGTCCCAGAATAAAATAATAATAGGTGTGGCAGTTATCAAAAGGTTGGGAATACTCATAACAAAACAAAAAGGAGAAGTGGAGGTTTGACATTTACGAAAGAACCAGACAGAATCTTCAAAACCGAGAACCAATTTTTATAAAAGGTAAACACAAACAGAAATTCCTAGCATTCATTTTTTCAGATTCTGGAACATAACAGGAAACAACAGTGACAAAAATTGCTCTCACAGAGTTTGCACACTACTGTAGAGAGAAGAAGATATTTAAAAAAATAAGTGAATTATATAATAGGTCAGAAGGTGAAAGGGCCATTGAGAAAAGTAAAGCAAGTGAGCACATCATATGCGACCATTATGTACTTGGGAATTTGTTTGGTTTTGACAACTGGAATTATCTTAATAGTGTTTATGAGTATTACTAAAAAGAACTAAAAGAATGAAAAGAACTTTTAATGGAGATTTGAGAGGTGCAATGCAGATTATTACAGGGGGGGAAATTTTATAACAACAGACTCAAAGTTGGCAAGAGGCTTAGATCTTATTTAGGAAACCTTTGCTCTTTACATTAGGAAACAGAAATCCTAAGAGTTTAAAGAGTAGAAATGGAATAGGAGAAAAAAAGTATCTTAAAATAGTATCTATCCTTTTAGGTCAATCCTTTAGCCTATTCCAAATGCAAAGATTTTCTTATGACCCCAAATCAAGTGTTCTGGGTTTCACTCTACTAAAGGCATTATACGTCATTATATATAATTGCCAGGCTAATGAGTAAGGTTTTGGTCATTTGGACATTATCTCCATTGCCCTCAAAGGTAATGCCATTCCTGCGAATAGATGACCTCAAAGGTAATGCCATTCCTGCGAATAGATGAATACCAGAAAGTCTTTCTTTAGTAAACTCACTGTCTAGGCCCTGCAGGGTGAGGCTGGGCCTGGGTGGGGCCTGGCTAACAGGAGTGGCCTGAAATATTCAATTCTAGTCCTTTCCATTTGGGAATCTGCAGGTGAGAGCCCAGGCAGGTCTTTGTCCCTTGCACAGACAAATGTTTTCCCTGGTATTCTTAAACATAAACTGAAAGAATTTTCATCCTATCTGATGGGAACAAGAAATCATCAGCCTGGAGGTCTCCTGATCACTGGGAGTCAATTCTTAAATTACCAAAAGAAAACACCTATTTTTAGAAGGTGACATCCAGTTTCCTGTCACCATTCTTCATAGGCCACAGTGCTGACTTTCAGACTTCCAAGGACCTCCTGGGTATAAAAGTCATTGTGACTTCAGCACATCATCTAGCTTCTTGAGACTTGTTACTCCCAGAGGGCAAGGGTGGAACATTCATCTGTCCTGAGCTTTGCCCTTGTTTCCAGCCTTGATGGTTTTGCCTTCATCAGGCTGGCCAGATAAGAGGAACAGAGTTAGTAGAATCTAACTCAAGGGCTTGAAGCCAGAAAGTCAAGTACATATCCATCAGGACCAGGGCTGTGAAACAGGAGTTCAAACAGCAGCAAATTCTTCATGTGTTAATGAATAGGACAGAGATGAGGCAATGGAGATCATAAAAAATTAGGGTCCTGAGTTTTACTAGAATAAATATACTAGTAGCTATAGTAATGGTAATAATACAGCAAGTTTTAGCTTTAGAGAAATAGAGGAGTCTGGATTATAAATGCTTACAATCTCTAACTCATTAATCATAAGTCTTTTTTTGAATAATATGTTTACAGGGAAGCTTATCATCATCCCAAATACAATGTCAAGGCATATATATCATGGAGCAGACTTAGGCGATTTTATTGCCTGGTGATTTGGTCAGTGCCAGAAGGATTCAACCAGAAAGAACTACATTCACTTTGATCTCAAACTGTCTTGAAATCTACCAATAGGCAGAATATGTACTTTTCCCCTAACTTGGAGAAGGTCCAGCAGAAATGTTGGAGGGGTTGAATGATCAAAGGGGTTGAAAATAGAGTCTAGGAGAAGGGGAGCTGCTTTTGCTTGGAGAAAGAGAAAGGAGAAAAACAACCAACCACTGGCTTTGAAGGCTGCCAAGAATTCCTGCTCACAGCAATCGTGTAATCATTTATTCATTCACTCAGAGTACCATGCACTGGACCACAAGCCAGAGGATAGATGGGAGGATGAAAATAGAGACCCAAAAAACAAAGCCCCGGCTTCAAAAAATCTCCTCTCCATTTGTGGCCAAGAATTGAACAAAATCAAGTATAAAGTTGGACAAAAGGAGGAAATAAGTATGACGTGAAGGGATTTGAGAAACTGAAATGCTTGCCAAGGCCAAGGTAACAATGGAAACAAGCATATCTCCACTCGCCACTTGATGAGTTGATGAGAACAACTGCTGGCTAAATGGTGAAGTAATTTTCAGGGCTGACTGGGAAGTTTCCACCAGGAAAAAAAAAAGATATTATGGCTTTAATTTTGTAGTTTGAAATATTCTTTTATATCGATCTGGTGTAGTCAGTATAGAGTAGAGCAACTGTTTTATAGTTTCCATTACATTTTTCATCTATACCAAACACTGTATGATTCATATTAGGGACTATCCTGGGCACATAAATAGCAGAAAATGCAGAAGCCAGTGATGGCATCTTTTCCACCACATTAAGGTTAAGAGAAAGCCCGCTGGCAAATTTACCAAGAAAACACTTATGTATGAGTTCGTGTTCATTGGCTGTGATATTAAGTCTTGAGTTTTGGGCCACAGGTTCATGGAATTTCCCATCTTTGATTAACTGAGATTTATCACCATTTCGGACAAATGAAATTGTGAGTCTATCACATAAATAAAGATGACTTTTTACTTATTTAAATAATACAGACAAACAAATAAGATAATTTACCAGGACGGGTGTTTGTTTCTAATGTGAGTTTTCTGGTTTAACTCTCTAACCATTCAAAAGGAAATTTCAAACTTTTCTACCCATAGTTAAATACAGGTTAAAAACTTACAAGAAATCAAGAAAATAGAAGGAGAATTTTATAACTGAGGAGAGTGCTTTCGAGCCAACATTTTTAGTATTCATCAAGCTCTGTGGACATTTAAGTGGGAAATTTATTTTCAAAAATGCTTAAAATTGACTTCTGTGGGTCTTACCCACAGGCAAACCACCCTGAAGTTTTGAGGAACCAAAATGTCATTCTTACCCCTGTGCTTCTGGTGTATATCATATATATTGTTTTAAAGTGACCAGACCACTTTAAAGAGATTGTTTGTATGCTTTGAATCAATACATTCTGAGAAAATACCTGCACTGTACACCTACAGGTGCCCACCACAATGCCTGGCTATTTTTTGTTGCAGTTGTCATTGTTGGTTAGCTGGCCCGGGTTGGGTTCGAACCCACCAACTTCAGTGTACATGGCTGGCACCCTAACCACTGTGCTATGGGTGCTGAGCCAACAACTGTGAACATTTTTATTTGAAATCTGCCTTGTTTCTCCTTCATCCTGAAACAATATCTCATAGATCACATATCTGTTCATAGCTTACCTGTCTCACTTCCAATCAAAGGCTGATTTGCAAAATGATTGACAAAATCCTTCAAAGATGAGAATTCATTAAAGCCAAATTTAAATGAATATCCAGTATATTCAACATGAAAGTGTTTGACAGAGTCTTTGGCTCTGAAAGAGAAAAAGAAATGTTTAACATTAAGATATTAAGAAATATCTTTTTTGAAAGCAAATCTTTCTTAATAAGCTATTAGCATCACCATTAACCCTTTTAAGAACTGAGAATTAGGCAGTCATGGAAGTCATGGGGTGGGCGTGGTGGCTTAGACCTGTAATCCTAGCACTCTGGGAGGCCGAGGCAGGTGGACTGCTTGAGCTCAAGAGTTGGAGACCAGCCTGAGCAAGAGTGAGACTCTGACTCTACTAAAAATTGAAAAACTAGCCAGGCGATGTGGTGGGAGCCTGTAGTCCCAGCTACTCAGGAGGGAAGAGGATTGCTTTAGCCCAAGAGTTTGAGGTTGCTGTGAGCTAAGATGCCATGATACTCTACCCAGGGCTACGGAGTGAGATTCTGTCTCAAAAAACAAAAAACAAAAGCAAAAAAACATGGGGTTTTAAAGAGCATCACTAGTTTCTTTTGGCAGAGTTTCGCTCTAATGGAAGACAAGAGACAGTTCTCCTGTTTACTCTTAGATTTACCGAATATCACCCTCTGAAGGGGCATGAACTTAAGAAGGGCAGAGAACAGAGACGACAGGAACGGCATGTAACACCTTCACCACCAGATCCTCCTCTGCCATTGCCTCCTCCCTCATTTGTTTGGGATTCTGTCACTTCATTAGCTAGGTGAACACAGATCTTTCCCTTCCAAGCATATTCTACTGCCTTCTGAATAAAATATCGACTTCCCTGCACTGTCATTTTCCAAATGAGGCACAGTACTAAATAAAAAAAAAAACAAGTATGCCAAGAAATGCATAGACAGTTTAAGAAAAGGAAAAAAATCTATTAAATTCATAATACTCAAGTCATGTTTAACTTCTGAAATTACAAGAGGTGCTCGACATGACTTGTATTCATCTTTTGTTGGGAATATATTGAGTATTATATTTTTAATACTTTTTTTTTCTTTTTTTAAAATGTGTATACATCTTTTGGCACTTATGACACACACACATACGTGTATATATATCTCCACATATATATATGTGTCTACTTTATTTTGACCCCATTCTATCTTCCAGCCTGACCTCCCACTCTTCCTTTCAATGCAGCCCATGCTTCAACATTAGAGCACCTCAGAATCACCTTGAGGGTTTGTTAAAACCCGGATTGCCACCTCTCTCCCCCAGATTCAGGTTCCATAGATCTAGAGTGTGGCCTGAGAATCTGCATTCCTTCCACGTTCTCAGGTGAGGCTGCCGGTCTGGGGCCCTGCACCTTCGGAACTGCTGCTATAATCCAGTGGTACCTCCCCTTCTTCTGAGAGTTTTCTTGGCTGGCACTTAGCTCACACTCTTCCTTTCAGCTCATTATCCTTTCTTGTCTGGGCTGGTAGAAATTCCACCACCCATGAACTGTCACTTCAAGCAGCACCTCCTCTGTTAAGTATTACGGGCAGTCCCCAGGTTAGGAATGAGATAGGATGAGTGGTTTGCTCTTAAGTTGAATTTGTATGTAAGTTGGACAGGTACATTTACCCATTAGCTGTAATAGCCTCCATTCATAAGTGCCAGTTGCTCCTAAGTTGAATGTTTGTACCTTGTGGACTGCCTGCACCTGATAAATTACAGCTTGAGTTAATGGCTTTCTATCTTTTCCTGTCTAAATGCTTATCTTGACTTCTTTTATGCCATTTATCACACTTTACTTTGCAGCATAGTGGCCCAAGGAAGTCACCGAAATAACTGAAAAGAGAAAGTAAAGTTTTAGCAAGAAAATAAAGTTTATTAATGACCAACACAGCAATCTAGGCCTTGTCCTAGTGACTACAGCCCCTCTGGAAAGCTCAGTTTGGGGTTTTATACACAACTTTGAGGATTATCAGCTGCTTCTTAGGAATCTCCCAGGGTGTTAATTAACTCTGTTCTCAAAACAACCTACCTGCAAGGTCTTGGCAATGACCCACCTAAAAAGTCTTACTCAGCCCCATTCCCCTAATGGCCAAGGTCAGCATGACCCAAGCTGATCCAAAATAGCCTAATGGTATCCATCATCTGCCTTCTTCTGTCTAACTAATTGTATAACATTTGTCTATGTATATGGCCTTATTGGCCCTATGAGGCTATACTTCCTCAAAATAAGGTCTTCAAATCTTCTATAACACTTACCAAAGTGACTGGCGCAGAATGACTGTTTTTAAATATTCATTATTAAGAGAATGAGCAAATAAATGAATAAAAATAGTCATTCTCCTGAATTTGTCTGTGATTTCTATGACTTATGCTGATAGTTTTTTTAAAAAGACATTCTTGTCCTGGCACAGTGGCACACTCCTGTAATTCTAGCACTCTGGGAGTCCAAGGAAGGTGACTCGCCTAAGCTCAGGAGTTTGAAAGCAACTTGAGCAAGAGTTGAGACCCCATCTCTACAAAAACTAGAAAAACTAGCTGGCCCTTGTGGTGGGTGACTATAGTCCCAGCTATTCAAGCAGTTGAGGCAAGAGGTTCACTTGAGCCCAAGAGTTTGAGGTTGCTATGAGCTATGATACCACAGCCCTCTACCCAGGATGACAGTGAGACTCTGTTTCAAAAGAAAAAAAAAGAAGGAAAAGAAAAGAAAAAAAAGGCATTCCTAAATGCTTGTAGTGAAAATCCTTAATATATAGTTTAATTTTTATGTAGATAAAATATAAATATCAATCTATAAGGAGTTTATAATTTAATTATTCAGATGAGACATACATAGGTAAAATGTTAACATTCTTTCATGTAATAATTCCATGCTTGTTTGAGATTTTTGGATGATTTTCATGCAATAAAGCATTTGTAATCTAACAATTTGATTAACTTGTAACATTTGCCTTTGATCTGAGAAAGCACAATTCTTACTGTCAACCAAACAGAATTTCATCTTGGATTAATAATTTTGTCAACAATGTTATTCAGAAAATTCATAAACATACTATGTGGGGGTGACATGAAAAATGTTAATAAATATGTTTTTTCCTCTGCAACCCCCTTTCTTGCCCTGTTACTTGCCACCTATTTCTCCTACACCCCTTCCAGTGGGCTTGGAGATGTTTCCTATTCCAGGATGAAGGGTGTGAAGGCAGTATGCCAAGGCAACCCCAAAGGCCAGCCTCAGAGCACACACACTTTTTCCCAATTGTTCAATCAAAAACTGGTCTAGATGCTGGTATGAAGGGATTTTGAGATCATTAAGGTCCCAAATTACCTGGATTTATCTGAGATTATCTAGGGGGTGCCTGACCTAATCTCATGAGCCCTGTAAGGCAGGGTTTCCTCTGACTGCTCATGGAAGAGGAAGTCAGGGAGCCGGGCTCTGTCTAACCTGGAAGAGAGCAAACACCACCGCTGTGAACGGCCTAAGGGGACCACATGAGGAGCCGTGGGTGGCCTCTAGGACTTGAGAATGGTCCCTGGGTGATGGCTGGAAAGAAAATGGAGTCCTTAGTTCTACAGGAGCAAGGAAAGGAAAGGAACGTGAAGGACGAGGACATTAGGCCCCAGATAAGAGCATCTGCCAACACCTTATGTCAGCCTGGTAGGACCCTGAACAGAGAATCCAACCAGAAACTATGAGATAATCAATTTATGTTATTTTTAAGCCACTATTTTTTTGTTTTGGAATTTGTTATGTAGCATAGAAAACGAATATGGAAGACCCAAGCCCAAAGAGAAAATAAGCAAATATGTGGATGCTTGGTTTTTGAGCTCATAGAAGCTTGTCATCAACTCTTTGGGGAATTCATTTGTTAGCCACCTTTGTTCCCCTAGCAGAGAGAGAGGAGATTAAAACCAAAAAATAAAAATAACAAAAACTGTCACTGAGATGGATGGATAAGAGGATTCAGACAGGAGCAGGGAGTGTAGATTACGCCTCTGAGCTGGTGGCTGAGAGGCCTAGGCCACTAGCACAGGAAAGACAAGCAACCGCCTCCTGCTAGGTTAGCCTGAGGGACTGCACCGTGAAGGGAGCTGTGACTTTCTTCCCAGGGTGCAGGGAGGTGCCATCAGAACAGTAATACAAGAGCAGTTTGAGGTTATTGGGTGGCTAGTTAAGGGAGAGTCCAGATCAACCTACAGAGAACTGCCCAGAAACTCAAGAAGACTTGCTACTTGGCAGTGGCCGACAGTGCCACATGCAAATTGGGACCATCGGGAAGGAGGGACCAACACTACAGTTGGCTGTGTATACCTGGTGGGGACTGGATTGATTTTCTTACTGTTTGTAAGAAGTGAGGCCTCAAGAAAGATGTTCAGCCCATTTATAGGAAAAATTTCTTAAATTGCATATTGCCTGCTTGAGTTTGTGCAGATGAAAGTTGTTCAGTCACAAGTCACTTTATTTTCCAGAAGGACTAAAGAATAGTGATAAGGGCACGGGCCAGGTTTCAGTGATTGGGATTCTGGGGCTGGTTCTACCCTTGTTTTGTGGGGTGCCGGACACTCCACCACTTTGGGTTTCAGGTTCTTCATCAGCCAAGTGAAGGGTTTGGATCAGATAATTCCTAACGTCTCCTCCAGCTCTAACACTTCCTTCCTGCTAAAGGGTGGAGAAGGGATTCCAAGTTTGAAATCCTTTAACCCGGTGGTCCCACAGGAATAGAGGACCTTGTTATGTGGCAATCTGAGTGGTGATAAAGTCAGTTAGTGATAGAGGGGTGAGTCATTAAGCGCCCTACCTCACAGAGAGAGAGTACAGCCTCGTCGTGTCATTGCTGTCCCTCAGAAGGTAGCTGCCGTCACATCCATTTGAGAGCAGGAGAGCCTCAGCTGCGTGGCGTGTGAGGTTGCCATGATACCACCTAGAAAGGACAGAACAGTGCTTTCACTCAGGGCCAACCATGGGGTTTTCCTCTCAAAGGTTACCCAGCAATATTCTCCCCTCCTTTCCTCCCCACAACCCCCAGGAGATCAGAGACCAAGTTCTCAGAAGAAACATCAGGACACAGAAATCTCCGGGTGAGGCTGAGGGGAGAGCAGAGAGAGGTGGCTAACAGCAGCCTGTCACGGGATGAACTGCATCCTGGAAGTTCATATGTTGCAGTCCTAACCCCCTCACCCCACCCCGTACCTCAGAATGTGACCCTGTTTGGATAAACATCCTTTACCAAGTTAAAATGAGGTCATTATCTTTGTACCCTCAATGAACCTCAAACAATAAAAAAAATGAGGCCATTAGAGGGGGCCCTAATCCAGGATGACTGGAATCCTCTTATAAAAGGGGAGAAATTAGGAGACAGACTCACCCACAAGGAAAACACTACGTGAACGTGAAAAATCACCTTCCAGCTGGGGAGAGAGGCCTGCCACAGACTGTCCCTCACGGCCAGTCCTCCTAACACCTTGTTTTGGAACTTCTAGGCTCCAGAACTAGGAGACGACAGGTTTCTGTTGTACCCAGTTTGTGGCCCTTTGTTAAGGTAGGTCTCACAAGCCAATACAGAGTGCCACTTTGTAATCAGAAATGTTCCAAACTTCCAAGTTAAAATATCCATAAAATAGGCTTTCACAATTTTCTCCCTTTCTCACTGTTTTGCGAGTGTGGTAACATTTCGTGGGGAAATCACCGAGCTATTTTGCTACCATCCATTTTCATGAGTGAAATGAAGCTGGGGCACAGGAATTCAGATGTGGGATAGTGTGATGTGAGCTCCATCAAGCACAGTTCCATCTGACAAATATCAAAACAACTGGGGAAGTTCCAAGGAGATTCAAATTGGTTTTTGTGATTTAAAAAAAAAAAAGATCTTTAGGTGTTAGAAAAGATAGCATACATCTATGGTAAAGAAAAAAAAAACGTATTGTGCAAAATGAGATAAATCCTTTTCATCTCCCTTGACCCTGAGTCGGTCGATCCTTTCCCCAGGGTACACCATCTTAACCATTTTCCTGTGTTTCCTCCTAAGAGAGTCTATGCACCCACAGGCATTCAGGTTTGACTCTTATAATGCTTACAATTCTATGAAAACAAGAGTATTTAGGCACATGGCTCTGCACCTTGTTTCTTTCCCCTAATGTAATGACAGTTCTTTCACATTCTTTTAAACAACATGACAATCAGAGGCAGTTCAGTGTGATCATTAGGATGGTGACCCCTGGAATCACTTTGCCTGGGTCTCAATCCAGTGGATACCTCTTACTAGCTGTATAACCTTGGACAAGTTGCCAAACCAACGTGAGCCTTCTCACATCTAAAACAGGATGAATAATAGTCGTAACCCCATTGCCAATTGCGATTCCTACACACCTTAACAGCAGCGAGGTGGTGTAAAAAGCCTGGCAAACAGCAGGGCTCAGCGCATGTGAGTTGCCATCAGGAAATCACTGAGACCTACAAAGCCAGACCTTGCCATTTCCCCTCTGTAGTATGATTTTCCTATTGCTCAAATGTAACTTTATTTTATTTTATTTCATTTTATTTTTTATTTATTTGAGACAGAGTCTCACCAGTTGCCCTCCATAGAGTGTGCTCTGGCGTCACAGCTCACAGCAACCTCAAACTCTTGGACTTAGGTGATTCTCTTGCCTCAGCCTCCCAAGTAGCTGGGACTACAGGTGCCAGCCACAACACCCGGCTATTTTTTTCTTGCAGTTGTCATTGCTGTTTAGCAGGCCCGGGCTGGGTACAAACCCGCCAGCCTCGGTGCATGTGGCCAGTGCCGTAACCACTGTGCCATAGGCACGGAGACTTAAATGCAATTTTAAATACTTTTGATTTAGATCAGATAAAGAAAACTACATTCCAGAGATAGTTGCTAACTGCTAAAGACCCACAGTCCAGGGCATTGGAGATAAAGGAGAGACAGGCAGTTACATGAATAACGTCAGCAAGATGAACTAAGCACTGTGAAAGAGGTGTGTGTAACATACAAGAACTTCAAGGAAAAGCCCCCTCTGAAGTGAGGAATCTTATCACTAACTACACTGGTGTCCACTGTAACGTCCCTTTACCACAAAAATTTTAGCCTGAGTGATAAACAGTAAACATAAGCTCATCTGTGAAAGGAAGTTTCTACACAGGGCTCCAAGCTATCTTTTTCTAAATCTTCATTTCTTCATGCGTATTTTCTTTTTTTAGCATATTTCCCCTTTGGGGCAGAGACAGATCCATCCCAAAATGTATTTGCTAGCTGAAACAATGGCATGAAAGACATTTTATAAGAATACTCACTGAGTTATTTTTACAGAGCAGCCTCATTCATTGAACTAACTTCCCAGATGAGTTCACATTTGGGGATCTGAAGTTTGTGTTTGAAGCATTTATAGAATTTTCTTGATTTTTAAAAATTTAACACGTGGGGTGGTGCCTGTGGCTCAAAGGAGGAGGGCGCCGGCCCCATATGCCAGAGGTGGCAGGTTCAAACCCAGCCCCAGCCAAAAAACTGCCAAAAAAAAAAAAAAAAATTAACATGTGATTTGCTTGGAGTTTTGATATTTAACTGCAGCCCGAAGATAGTACTCACTGAGAATTTTTATGGTAATTTAAAAAATAATAACCATGGACCATAAATACTTAAGGAATATATGAGTATGAAGCAAAAAGAATCATTCTGTACTGCAGTTTGGAAAATTCACAGAGTGTTCATTTCTAGGTGGAAGCTGTTTTTGTGTTTTGGGTTTTTATGGAATCCAGGGCCTACACCAGCCTGCTATAGAGCTTTCCAGATAGCCACCTACATGTCAAGATGTGTGTGCTGCAATGAGGAACCTCACTCCCCAAATAGCTCTTCACAAAAACCTAAACTTCCCCTTTTCATTGACTTACACTTTCCTTTCCTACGACATTTTGATGAGTATTTTCTCCAGGGGAGTCAATGTATATCCAAATAACGTTGCGTATCCTTTGTGGGAATCTGTCCGCTGTTGATAAGGATGATTCAAGACTATGTCCATAAAGACATAAAAGTTAAGTAGAGCTAAGCTGGTCATTTTCCCCACAATCAGCCTTCTCCACCTGCAGTCATTACTCCAAATTTGTACAAAGCATGTGCCAGGCAAGTCAAAGAGAACGAAAATAGAAAAGCCTCAGACTGGGCTATAAGAAACCATTAATTTAGCCAAGAGGATAAGACAAATATATTGCAAACTCAATTGGAGAAAGAGTAAAATACTCAAGGCATGTTCTGGGAAAAAGATCAAAACCAGGTTCCCTGAATGAGCCAATGTCTAAGCAGGCCTTGAAAGATACTTAGGTTATTTTTTGAATGTGTATTACTTTTTTTTCTTATAAAACATATAGTAAAAATTAAAAGTATACATCTATACTTTTCTATACCTGTAAAGAAGAGACAATGAAAGTTTTTAACAGAAGAGAAAATATGTATTTCAAATAAACAAATCTCTCTACTAATCAGAGCGATGTAAATTAAAACAACAAGGTGATATTTTTCTTATCCACCAGATTGGTTTAAATTGGAAGAATTGGCAAGTTTTAACAACTGGAGAAGTCTTAAATATGGGGCGATGGATATCACTGTCCATTGCTAGGAGTATGAGGTGGAGGGGATTTAGCACATTGAGCAATCATTTGATCAGTGATTCCATTTCTACTCTTTGCCAAGTGAAACACTCACATGTGAGCAGAAGGGAACGTGAACAGAAGTGCACACTGGAGCACTGTTTGTGAGAGTAAAAACTGGGGCCATTCTAAACATCTGTCAACTGGGAGATGACAAATAAAGCTCAGTGCTCATCGGATGAATTATGTAAAAAGCCCAAAGTGTTTGAAGACATGTACAGGTCGTTGTGGTTGCCAAAGATGGGGACAAGGTAAAGTGCTATTGTCATTTGGTGAGAGTGTGCTGAGAATGCTAAACATCCAGCAGGAATTGTCCTGCTCACAGTGCCAGCAGCACGCTCCCTGAGGCACTGATAATGTTTGTGAGCACACACACATCAAAGCTGAGAGACCCCAAATATAACTGCAAAGTTAGAACCAGTTGTAAGCACAGTATGACATCTCCTGTTTTTAACACCCTCCTCCAAAATGCAACACATATACAGAGGGTGCCAAAAAAATACATGCATATTTTAAGAAAGGAAAAACTGTGCTAAATTTGTAACACTCAAGTCACATTTGACTTCTGCAATTATAAGAAGTGCTCAAATGCGACTTGTATTCATCTTTTGTTATCGGTATATAGTGAGTATTGCAATTTTAATGTGATTTTTTCCTCTCTTAAAATGCGTATACCTTTTATTGGTACCCCCTATATATTTACATATTAAGATGTGTAAAAGCACAGAATGAGTCTTAAAAAAAACACCAAACTCATAAGGATGGTTTTCTTTGCAGAAGGAACCAGGACTCAGGTTGTGTCAAGGGAGACTTTAGCTTGATCAAATTTTCCTAATTTAGCTTGTTCTAATGAAAAAAGCGACATTCCTATAGGATTTGGGTAACTGAAATTTAATTAGAAAAGGAAAAGCTCATTTCTTCCTTAATCCGACCTCCAGAGATAACCCTGTTGATAATTTGCCTTATTCCTTTATTTATCCAACTAAGTGTATATCGAGTGCTGGAACTGGCCCCGGCACTTAGGGGAAGACAGAGGGAGAGAGAAGAGAGAAAGCAGAGACACAGAGAGGGAGGGAAGGAGACGGAGCAAGACAGTGAACGAGATTGGCTTTTCCTCTATTAGAAGTCTAGTGGGATTTGGAGTGACAATTATTCAGGGGGAAATTCTACAGGGGGGAATAACAGGAGCAAAGGCCTAGAAGCCAGAGAATGTCAGGAACATACAAGAATCAGAAAACTATGTACTCATGTAATTCAGGGAGAGTGACAAAGGATGCCAGTTGG